CTTTTTGTTTGACCCCGCCGTCCCCGCCAGCGGACTGTGAGACCGACGGCTACCTCAGCTCCTCTGGCTGCCTGGATGCCTCAGACCCCGCCCTCGCGCCACCTGGGGAGGTGCCCCCCAGCCCTGCCAAGCCCTGGCTCCATCTGCCCCCGGTGAGTGGACCCTGTCCCTGGGGGCACCGCTCTGCACATCCCGTCCGGCATTCTGCAGCCCCTCGGTGCCCCCTCCCTGGCCCCCAGCAGCCCTGGCCTCACAGACCTGTCGCCTTTCAGGCTTTTGCTGTATCCGTCCCATGTTCCGGCCCTGGCAGTGACTTTTCCCCAGGGGACAGGTATGTTCTGGTGTGAGTTGGGGTGCCGGGTGGAGACACGGGGAGCTCTGGGGTCCCAGGGTCCCCTCAGATGCCCCTTTCTTTTCCCTTTGGCAGCTACGCCTCAGATGCGGCGTCAGGCCTCAGCGACATGGGCGAGGGGATGGGGCAGATGCGGAGACCCCCAGGGAAGACTCCCCGGCGCAGACCTCGATCCCGGCTTCGGGTCACGAGTGTGCGGAGGGGCGCAGGAGCGGGGGGATGGGCAGCTATTGGGGGAGTAGAAGCGAGGGGCCGGGGCATGTGACTGGCACCCGTGGCAGCCAGTCCGGTCCGCAGGGCCAGACTCGGGGTGGAGTCCACTTGGCTGGCGTGGGGCGGCTCCCATGACGGTGCCAGAGCACAGGCACTGACCTTCCTCTCGCCGACTTTGGGTCTGAAGGTCTCGGACCAGAATGACAGAGTGGTCGAGTGCCAGCTGCAGACGCACAACAGCAAGACGGTGACCTTCCGGTTCGACCTGGACGGGGACAGCCCAGAAGACATCGCGGCTGCCATGGTGAGGGATGAGGACGGGATGGGCTCTCCCGACGGCCGGCAGTGCCGACGTGCCCTCCCCGGCGGCTCTGGGCTGCAGCCTCGGGTGCCTCTGCCTCTGCCTCCGCCCCGGGAGGATTTCTGCTGGTCCAGCAGGCGATGGAGCCCCGCGAAGTCTCAGTGCAGGCTGCGAGTGTGACCCTGGCTGTCAGGCAGGGTGGGTGGGGTGCGTCCAAGCAGGACCTACCCAAGGTGTGGCGGGCAGGCAGGGGAGAGGGGCACCCCGCTGGAGGCGCAGCCGAGGAAGAGGCTTCCCAAGCGGGGGCCGCCTGGCACGTGGGCCGGAAGGCTGTCGGGGAAGCCGATGTCCCGGCAGGAGGGGACCCGGGGAACACGGTGGGTGCGGGGACAGGAGGGGACCCGGGGAACACGGTGGGTGCGGGGGTGGGCAGGCAGGCAGAGGGCATGCGCCACAGATGGTCTGACGTGGAGGACAGTGTGACGTCGAGGTGGGCTTCACAGAGACCTATGCGTGTGGGGACCCAGCTGGGAGGTGGACCCCGAAAGCCAGATAAGGACGGAGAAGACCAGTTATGGGCAGAAGAGAAGGGCTGTTTCGGGAAAACGAGCTGCTCAGCATCCAGGGCCCGCGGACATAGATGCCAATAAATAAATACTCGCTACGCTGATGAGGAGTCAGGGAGAGGGCATCAGGGCAGCTTGTAACTTGGCAGAACCAAGAGGAGTGGGCACCGGCAGAGGGAGGAGGGGTGGAGGCAGGTGGATAAGCAGACAGCCGTGCGGCCACGTCCCGGCAGCCATGGGCCACGGGTTGGGCTGGAGAGGGGGAGAGAGCCCGGCCAGGAGGGCACTGCCGTGTGTCCCCGCCCTAGGGTGGGAGGGGAGGCTGGGCCATCAGGGGATGTGGAGCCAGGGCCGGCAGCAGGGGGGGTCAGTGAGGGGAGGGAGGACCTGCGGGCAGTGCAGGGCGCTGGCTGTGACCTGTGCTGGGGGTGGGGACTGACACCAGGCTCGGGCACTCGGCCCTCCCAGCCTTCCTGAGGACACGCTGGGGTCTGGGTGGCTGGGTGCCCAGCATCGCACAAACCCAGGGTCCCCCCTTCCCTCCCGACCAGCCCGCTCCATGACTTGGTCTGAGCCATGGCTTCTCGCCCCAGCTCTTTAGTGGCGACACGTGGGGTGGCCTTCCAAAGTCACCGCCCACTGTGCTTCCGTCTCTGCCTTAGTGGTGCCGGTTCCTTCCGGATGAGCAGGGTGGAAAGGCCGGGTGTGTGGGGTTCGGGGCTGAATTTCAGGGAAGCTGAGCAAGTTCGTCCCCTCCCCTGCCTTCTTTTCCTGCCCTTCTTGGAGCCGGGTTGAGCCCAGGACCTGGTGCACCCTAGGCCGGCACAGGGCCACTGAGCACGTCCCCAGCCTTGGCAAGTTTCTCAGCTTCTCTGAAGCCAGCCGCCCTTCGGGAGCTACTGCGTGTTCGGCAGCGAAGTCCTGACAGGGCAGAGTGCGTGCGAAGGGGCTGCACTGGGCTCACGAAGGAGTCCATCGAGGTCCAGAGGCTCCAGTGCTGCAGTGCCCTCCCGGGGTCGCCATCCCTGGAGCTGGATGGCCTAGGCTAGTGGTTTGTTTGATTTTACTGTGATAAACGGAAACCACGTATGTCAGCCTTACCATTGTAACCTTTTAAAATGTACCGCTCCATACAGCCCTGACTGAGTAGTGCTTCTCTCTGGGGTCACTGTGGGCAGGGCTCCCGAGTGCTCTGCCTGTCACTGTGGCCCACAGGAGGTGGTGAGCTGACACGCCCCCCCCACCGAGTTTGGGCCTAGGAACCAGCTTCTTGCTTCGTGCAGGCACAGAGCCCAGCACCTGCAGGGCAGGCAGCAGGCGCTCCGCCCATGGAGTGGAAGGCGGCGTTCACCACTCACACCTGGTGTCTGCCTGACTCTGTCACGCGTAGGGGCCCGCTGTGCACACATCAGAGACCCGCTGCAGGCAGGGGTCGTGTCCATGGCACCAAGGGAGCAGCGAGAACTCGGGCTCTGGCTTTCAGCAGACCTGCGTCTCAGCCCTGTGCCGTGGGCCCCCGAATGTCACCTGTTTGATATCAGTTATCGTCACCTTGACACGAGGTGTTTGTGAGGCCCGAGGAAGCTGTTGGTGGTGAATGTGACGCTTGTGCCAGGCACCTGGTGTGTTCACGACACGCAGCCCATGACTGCCTTCCCTTCCCTGGCGCCCCTCTGCCCACCCTCGCTGCCAGGCCCCGGCCCACAGCAGGACGAGTGACTGCTTGCTTAGGGTTGACGGTTGGTAGAAGCAGTGGTGTGAGCACTTGGGCTTAGAGTTGGGCCGGGACAGCGATATGACCCAGTGTCCCCACTGCCACCTTGCAGGTGTACAACGAGTTCATCCTGCCTGCTGAGCGTGAGGGCTTCCTGCGGCGGATCCGGGAGGTCATCCAGCGGGTGGAGACACTGCTCAAGAGGGACCCTGGCCCTGCCGAGGCTGCTGAAGATGCCCCAGGCCCCCAGGTCAGGGCCTTCTGAGGCCCTCCACATGGGGCCCTGTCCCCTCAGGTCTCCCGCTCTGGGTCTGGAAGGCAGAAGCTCTTGCCCCACTTCAGAGAGCGTATGATGAAAGCCATGGACTCTTGTTCTAGAAACACCTGCTGAACAAAAACTTTTAACAAAAAACTATTACCAGCCAGGCATAGTGGCACATGTCGGTAATCCCGGGACTTGGGAGGCTGAGGCAGGAGGATCTATGAGCTCAAACCCAGCCTGGGCTTCACGGTTCAAGGTCAGCCTGAACTGCATAGCAAGACTCTGCCTCAACACCCCCCCCATCTCTATTATCTTGAAATAATTTCAGACTTGGGAGTGGAAGTTGCAAGAGTTGTACAGAGAACTCCTGGGTAGCTTTGTCCAGGTTCGCCCACTGTTAAGTGTTTTCCATCGTTAGCTTTACCCTCCTCTCTCCCTCCCCTCTGTGTGCATCACACAGAAACAGATCCGTATCTTCTCTGCTTTTTACTCTGAGTCCCGGCACAGGGACTTTCTGAACCCCAGAAGCACCTGGCCTGCAAGCTCGGGTCCTGGCCGCAGAGCCCATCTGGAAGCTGTCTGAGGCTTCCCGTGGTGAAGGTGGCCCCTGTGTCTCCCTCAGGAGGAGCCGGCGCCCCTGCCTGCCCACGAGGACCTGCCCCGAGGTGTGTACCAGTCCATCCCTGCCCGGCCCACCCTCAGGGACCCCTGGGAAGACAGTGGAGACCGCAACCTCACACTACCTCCCCTAACAGAGCTCCAGAGCAGCAGCGGCCCAGGACAGCGGAGCTGGGCTGCCTTCTGCACCTCCCCGACCCCGCCCGGGACCCCCCCGTCTCCTGCAGCCCCCGTTTTCCCCAGCCCCCGCCTGTTCTCCACTTCTGCCCAGCCCTCCAGCTGCCCCCCACAGCTCCCCAGCTGTGCCTTTCCCTTCCTCACTGGTGCAGTCCAGGCCCCTTCCTCTCTGCTTCCCCTGGGCTCTCTCCCCTGCAGCCCCCAGAGCCCTCTCTGTCCCTCCCCTGCCACCCCCGCAGCCCCACTCCTTTCCCTCGCCAGTGCCTTCTCTCTGGCTGTGATGACTGTAGCCCAGTCCCTGCTGTCCCCACCCCCCGGGACCCTTGCCCAGTGTCCCCCAGCGCCTCCTGGCCCTCAACCTGGCCTGCCGCCTCCACCTGCTCCTGGAGGCCAGGAGAACCTTTTGCCCTACACGGCCAAGGCAGAGGCTCAGAGTGAGGTGAGGAGCCCGGGAGGGGCGACAGGGGCCCCGGTCCGGCCGCTTCCCCGCTCACACGGCCACACCTCACAGGCCACCCCGAATCCTACGCGGCCAGTCCTGGGAGAGGCCAGACTGGCGCCCATCTCGGAAGGTGAGGCCTCCGATCCCTGTCTCTTGTGCCTGTGTCCCCAGTGCCCCATGCGCCTGTGGGTCCCTCTCCTTCCCCCCCGCATCTCCTTGCAGAGGGGAAGCCCCAGCTCGTGGGGCGCTTCCAGGTGACCTCATCCAAGGAGCCGGTGGAATGTCCTGCCCTGCAGCCAGCAGCAAGCGCTGCTCTCCCTGGTTCCCCCAAGCCACCAACCCCTCCGCAGAGCCCAGAGAGCTCAGACACTGAGGACAGCGCTGGGGGCAGGCCGGGGACCAGGGAGGCACTGGCTGAGAGTGACCGCGCTGCCGAGGGCCTGGGGACTGTGCTGGATGATGGAATGGACCCCCGTGCAGGGGACAGCCCCCTGGCCCCTCCCAGCCCGGTGTGGACGAACTACTCGTACAGCAGCCTGTGCTTGAGCAGCGAGGAGTCAGAGAGCAGTGGGGAGGACGAGGAGTTCTGGGCCGAGCTGCACAGCCTGCGGCAGAAGTGAGTGGGGAGGACGGAGCGGGCGGCGTGCGTGGCACCGAGGGCAGGCGACCGCTCA